TATAATATGTACTTATAATATATGCTTACTATTTTTTAATAATTGAGGTATAATTTACATTGCACCAATCCACCAATTTTGAGTATCCAAATCAATGATTTTTTTCAGTATATTTCCTGACTTCTAACCCTCCCAGTTATAGAACATTTCCTTCATCTCAAAAGTTCTCTCATGCCTATTTGCAAACACTCCCTGTTTCCACTCGAAGCCCTAGGCAACCACTAATCTACTTCCTGTCTCCATTGATTTTCCCTTTCTGGATATGTACTATACATAGAATTATATAACACATGACCACTGTACTAGCTGTTATTACTTTACAAAATCACATTATTACACATTTTTACTAATTCAACAGTTTTTAAGTATGCTCATCATTTTAAACAACAAATCTTATTTTCTTAAGCAGTGCATTTATGTCAACTCTCTCTCATTGTAAATAAAACTTTTGCTGTGGTAACAGATTAAACAACAAGTAGACAAACTGTTTCCTAAATTCTTTCAGAATAAAGCATCACCTTCACCTGGATCCTAGGTTCAGGTTGCCCTAACCATGAATGTGCCATCACCCTGAGACATTGTTCCTAGATTGCCAGATTCGATTCGGGGCCTGCTTTTCATACTTCTCTAAAGAGGAATCCTTTTACAGACACAGTGTTTGGTGTTTGCCCCTTTCCTAGAAAATGTTTGCTTTTATGTCATTTGTTTTCTTTTAAAGTGCATAAATAAGGAAGCTAGAAAGTTGTTCACCTTGTGGAGAGGTGTAACTGTTCTTTTCTGGAAGGTTTAATGCTATTCTTAGGCAATTACTTATCTTTATCTGTGTGGATCCTCAGATCTTTATCTGTGTGGATCCTCAGGACTGCAAGTCAATTTATAAGAAAAGGGTCCCTTCAGTTATGGAATGTGTGAGCACAGGTGGGGATCTCTTAGGACCTCCATTGATATTGCCTTCTTCAACCTGGCATTTCCCCTCTGTTGCACCTTAGTATATAATTCCTGTCCTTTGTGCCCTTGTGGGGAGGTTGCTACCCACCTCCTCCTGCAGAGGGATTTGTTTCCCAGGGTCAAAGACATCATGGCAGGTAGGACCAGCCCACTGTCCCCTTCTCAGGGAGAGGTCCCAGAGGGTGCAAATGGCCAAGAATTGAGGGGGTACATACAGGTTCTTCTGAGGGAAGCTGATGGTGCCGCCAATTTTTGTTTCTGCTTCAGATGAATTAAAAAACAAGACCGTGTGTGAAGACCAGGAGCTGAAATTGCACTGTCATGAATCCAAGTTTCTCAACATCTATTCAGCAACATACGGCAGGAAGACCCAGGAGAAGGACATCTGTTCCCCAGGCGCAGAACATCTTTCTCCCTTCGGTGCGTGTTCCCATGTCTAAGTGGATCAGTAACTGAATCAGTGTTGAAAGTCAAGGGTAGACTAGAGGGGAAGTCAAGGGCAGAGAGGAGCCATTGCCCCACCCAAACCAGACCTTCTTCTGCCCTGCAATTGGGAGTCCATCGGTCATTCCACCAAAAACTACAAGCCAAACCTGTCGTTGTCCAAATGAGTTACAGAGTAGAACTACTGTTTAAGATTTCCTTGACTGATAAATTGCCAAGCATTTTTTCTGTGGTGCCACTGGGTGGATTTGAACCACCAACCTGTAAGTTACTTTTTTGGTTGCCATAAAGCTGGTTCCCGCTCACAGGGACCCACATGTGTAAAGTTAAACTGTGCTCCATGGGGTTTTTCAATTAATACAACCATTCAGAAGCTAATCGCCTAGACAATTTCCCAAGGTGTCTCTGGTGCATTAGAACTGCTAACTTTTTGGCTAGTACTCGAGTGCTTAGCTGTTTGTACTATCCAGGGACTCCTTTCAGTTACTAGTAAAGTACCAACCACTTATGCCACTCACACCAAGTAGGTATCCAGTGAATGCTGTATGCCTTAGACAAGGGGATGTTATCAGTTACCAAAAGAGAATCTAAGTCCTCCTAGAACTAATGTCCCAGCGATGGATGGGCAGTGGTGAGGACACAGATAGGTAAGTTCGTATGTCTATCTATCAGGGTGTTGCAAACAGTTAACACGATCAGATGAGGTGCCTCTGAAGAAAGGCCTGTTAATCAACTTTCAAAAAAAAAATCAACCAATGAAAACCCTATGGGGCAAAGTGGACTGATCCCATTGTACACGGAGACACCATAAGTCACTGTACTAAAAGGAAATGGTTGATGTTCAACTATTTCAAGAGGTAGCATATGATCAAGAGCCAATGATACTGAAGGAACAAGGCCAAAGTGCATTGAAGGAGTTGGCAAAGAACAAGGCACCAGGAATTGATGGAATAAAAATTTAAATCTTTCAACAAAGTGAGGTGACACAGGAGGCACTCACTCATCCATGCTACGAAATTTGGAAGACTACTATCTGGCCGACTGGAAGAGATCTGTATTTGTGCCCCTTCCAAAGAGAGGTGACCCAACAGAATGCAGAAATCATCAGACAATATCTTTGATATTCCATGCAAGTAAAGTTTTACTAAAAGTAATACAGAAACAGCTACAAGCATACATTGACAGAGAACTTCCAGAGGTTCAAGCAGGATACAGAAGAGACCATGGAATGAGGGCTATCATTGCTGATGTCTGATGGATCTTGGCTGAAAGCAGAGATTGCCAGAAAGATGTTTATCTGTGCCTTATTGACTATGCAAAGACTTTCAATTGTGTGGATCATGACAAGCTATGGACAACATTGCTAAGTATGAGTATTCCAGAACACTTAATTGTGCTCATGAGGAATCTGTACATGGACCAAGAGGCAGTTGTTCGAACAGAACATGGGCACTGAATGGTTTCAAATTAGGAAAGGTGTGCGACACGTTTGTATTCTTTCACCATACTTATTCAACCTGTATGCTGAGCAAATAATCTGAGAAACTGGGTTATATGAAGAAAAATGTGGCATCAGGATTGAAGGAAGACTCATTAACAACCTACAATGTGCAGATGATACAACCTTGCTTGCTGAAAGTGAAGAAGACTTAAAATATTTACTGATGAAGATCAAAGAGCACAGCCTTTGCTACGGATTTCTTCTCAGTGTAAAGTAAACAAAAAATACTCACTACTGGACCAATAAACAACATTCTTATCAATAGAGAATAAAATGAAGTTGTCAAGGACTTCATTCTTCTTGGATCAACTATCAACACTCACGGAAGCAGCAGTCAAGAAATCAAACGATGTATTGCATTAGGCAAATCTGCTGCACAAGACCTTTTTTAAGTGTTGAAGAGCAAAGATGTCAGCTTGAGGACTAAGGTGCGTCTGACCCAAGCCATGGTATTTTCAATAACCTCATATGCATGCGAAAGCTAGACAGTGAATAAGGAATACCATAGAAGAATTGATGCTTTTGAGTTATGGTGTTGAAGGAAAATATTGAAAGTGCCATGGGCTGCCAAAAGAACCAACAGATCCGTTTTGGAAGAAGTGCAGCCAGAGTGCTTCTTGGAGGCCAGGATGGTCAAACTTTGTCTCTCATACTTCAGACATACTGTCAAGAGTGACCAGTGGCTGTAGAAGGATATCATGTTTGGTAGGGTGGAGTGTCAGAGAAAAAGAGGAAGATCCCCAGCGAGATGGATTGACAAAGTGGCAGCATCAATGGGCTCAAGCGTGGCAATGATAGTGAGGTTGGCCCAGGATCGGGCAGTATTTAGTTCTGTTGTGCATAAAGTCGCTATGAGTTGGTACCGACTCGATGGCACCTAACAACAACAACAACTGCAACATGTTGTATGTCCGGTGTGGATAAGTGCTAAGGAGAAAAGCACATGAGGGAGGGAACTAGGGAAAGCTGGTGCAGCAACGGAAGGGGCTATTTTGTGGAGTGATGGATGTGCTGAGCAGAGACTTGAAGGAGGTTTCTGGTACCTGAGAGGGGGAAGGGAAGAGGAAAGTGTTTAGAGAGAGAGAAGGCTGTTCAAAGACTAAACAGCTAGTGTGCTAAGTGTGGTGGGAGGGTTCCCACAGTCTTTCTTCTTAGGAGTCTACAGTTTGAAGCTAAGAGATGTAGGCCTGAACTTCAGCCTGATAACTCCTCCCCCTCCCAGTCCCTCCAGCCTGTGGAAGTGAAAAAGTAGAGTCTCCACCCACTGCAGAGAGACCAGACCCTGCTGTGGACCCGCCAAAAGAATTGTATGTTATTGACAAAGACCTAGAATGAGCTCCATGCTTATAGGACCCTTGGTGGTACCATGGGTAAAGCATTGAGCTACTAACTGCAAGGTCAACAGTTCAAACCTACCAACCTATAAGCCTACCTCTTCAGGAGAACGATGAGGTTGTCTACTCCCATAAAGATTGAGGGAGCAGTTCTACTCCGTCCTACAAGGGTCATTATGAACCGGAATCAACTTAACAGCGGTGGGTTTGGTTTGTTTTGGCTTTCATGCTTTCAGCTGCTATAATTTATTCATGCATCATGTGAGAAATTAAACAAAGAATCCATGCATAAGTAATATCTTGGACCTGAATAAAACATGAACATGAGGTGTCTTATAAGATTTGCTGGAGAAGCACAATCAGTAAGATATAATATATATATAGTCCTCAACTTACAACGTATCCTAGATGAGCTGCAACCATTCTTTTGTTTGGGGTACATTTTATCTGTAGTAATGGAGTCGTAGTGTGAATCGGTATGATAAGCACTTAACTCCTATCCATAAGGTCAGTTGTTCAAACCCACCAGCCACTCCTCGGGAACCCTACACAGGATGGCTATGAGTCAGAACTGACTCCACGGCCCTTACCAACAATAGCAACATCTGTAGTAATCTGTATACATACAGTGTTGCAGCATGTAAACTCACATGTAATGTTTCTAACCCTCAAAGACAAATAAGGATCATATTAATGAAAATACCAGTAGTAACTGGCACCAATAATGAAAAAGCAACATATTTGAGTTACATCAGAACTGACTTAACGATGGAATGGAATCCCTGGTAAATCGGGGACTACCTGTATATACAGGCATGCTTCCTTTCATTATTTTAGTTTTACTGAGCTTTGCAGATACTACATTTTTTACAAATTGAAGATTTCTGTCAACCCTGCATGAAGCAAGTCTACTGGCACCATTTCCCGAATAGCAAGTGCTCACTTCCCTCTCTGTATCACATTTTGGTCATTCTCACAAGATTTCAAACTTTTTCATAATGCTATGGCACACTTAATAGACTAGAGTATAGTATAAACATGATTTTTAAACTTTGTGTGACTCTCTTTATTGTGATAGTTGCTTTATTTTGATGGCCTGGAATCAAACCCACAATATCTATGAGGTGGTGGCGGTATGCCATGGAGTTGGTTCCAACTCATAGCGACCCCGCATAGGGCTTCCTGGGCTATAAATCTTCACAGGAGCAGAAAGCCTCATCTTTCTTCCGTGGAACCGCTGGTAGTTTCAAACTGCTGACCCTGAGACTAGCAGCCCAATTCACAACCACTATGCTACCAAATCTCCTTTTCTATGAGGCATGCCTGCAATTGTGTTGTTGTAAAGTGCTGTTGGGTCAATTCTCACTCACAACAACTCTACAAGGGGGCTTCAAAAAGTTCAGGGAAAAATGGAATGAAAAGATAATGAAATTTTTCCACAAACAATTTGAAGCCCCTTTTGTGTATGATAGAGTAGAACTGCCCTGTAGGGTTTTCTAGGCTGTAATACAGTCTCAGAAAGCTTATGTAGAATCCACTCAGTGGCAGAGTTAATCTTTATGGAAGCAGATCGGCAGGTCTTTCTCCTGCAGAACTGCTGGGTGAGCTAGAACTACCATCCTTTCAGCTAGCAGTCCAGCACTTAACCCTTGAGCCACCAAGAAGGAAGGGGAGGAAGATAGCGAGAGATTTTTTTCAAGGTAACTGACTCATATGATTGGTGGGACATTGCAGGTCCAAAATCCTTATGTCAGGTGGTACACTAGAAATTCCTACAGTCTTGTGTCTCAAAATCCATGGGTCAGGTGATGACAAGAGTGGAGGAGTTCTGGCAAAATGCTTATTTATAGTCTGAAGGTAGAATATACCCTAGGGGAATTTCCCTTTTTGATCTTATGGCCTTTACTGTATTGGGCAAGGTCCACCCACGTTATGGCAGCAATCTGCTGCAACTAGGCCAACTGACTTCATGCCATGTAAGCACCAAAACTAGTGTTCGATCAAAACATTAGGCGCCGTAACTGAGCCAAGTTGGCACATTAAATTACCTATCCTACAAGGTAGCCTAGAAGCTCTGGTAGCGTAGTGTTATGAATCGGGCTGCTAATCTCAGGGACAGCAGTTCGAAACTACCAGCTGTT